TGCTTTCCTAACTTTAGGAAGCTGTTGCAGAGATGATAGCACTTAAGGATAAAATATCCATATAAAAGGTCTCATCCAAGCTTCTAAGCATCCTTTCAGTTCTTTGAAATATAAAAACACATTGAAAGATAATCTGGCAATTAATTCATTGGTACTATAAATGTATCAGACAGCTGAAGCATTCTGCCAACGAGTAACCTGCCATCTTACTCTTGGGCCAGAGTATAGAGATGGCCTCTGTAGTAGCYGGCTTGGGAAGTGAATGAGTTGAAGTGAATGAGGTTTTTTTGGTGGAGTAGTTTGAGGAAAAGATGCAGCACCTTGCAAAGGTACAGTCTGTGAGCCAGTTCTCCTTCATGGCAGTGGTACCACTACTGAAATACTGGCATTCTCTGAATGGGAGGCTGATTAGCATGAGAGGACTATAGATCAAAATTATTTCAAAAGGAGTTAAAAAAMCAGGAGGCAGCTAATGTACATATCAGAGAATCAGAATCAGCTTAATGAATACATGATGGTGCAGGAAGGGGCCATTTGCTTGCAGACCAGCAGCAGTCTCCAGACAGACTGCAGCTGACGGATTAGTTTTCAGCAGACCTGTGCTGTAGAAGCAGTCTGGAGGTTTGCATCTGAATTGAGCAAATACTTCTCATCCACAGAGTTGAAAACAAGGTAGTGTGACCTTGACAGCCTGGTGATCTAGCAAAGCATCCAAGCTGGAACCACAACAGCCACGGTTTCTGTGTCACAGGGGCTGCTTCTTCTGGGTGCTGTCACTAACCAGGCAACAACATCTCTGCCCTGTCTTGATTCCTGCCAGCCTTCCTCCTCCTCCTCCCTCTCCTTCTGCTTGCAGGAGTTGTTCYCAAGCTGTCTGTGCCCTGCAGAGCCTACTGTGCCCATGGAGGTGAGGGTGTAAAGCTGCACACTGTTCTGGTCAGTGAGGGTAGTCTTCATGCCTCCTTTCTCTCCTTGAAAGCCTCTGACGAAGGAATGCAAGGAGAGTTCTTACATATCTGTGGTGCAATTGGAAGGAACAGTGGCTACAATCCACACACTGGAGAAGAATTATAGGCACTGTTTTGTAGACTCCACCTCTGTCTGAAGTGGGATTTACAACAGTAGAGTAGGTAGGCAAAGACAATATGTACCTTCAGGCATTGCACAGCAAGTGGAAGTCTCTCGAGTGGTTTTCAACTTTTCTATTAGTAGAAATATTTTTATTTCCTTGCGATGTCAGGTCTCTTCAAGAAGCAGTATACACAGTGCTCAAGCTGACAAATTAGCCTGCTGTTATCCTGGTATCAACAGGAACTCCACTGAGTTGGGGTTAGGAGTGGATAACACAATAATAGTTAGCGTGTTAGCTGTTTTAACTTTCTGAAGCATTTTATGACTGCCTGATCTAAAAAGCCAGTTGTTTGCCTGCATGGTTTTCTTATACATGAGCTAATTATACTCAAATTCCAGCTTACCTGAGGGTGCACTATCAATATCTGTTTTGAAATTAGAAGTTCCTAACTGTTTTTATTTTCTCCTATCATAAAATGCTATCCATCCCCTGGAGATGTTTAGCCATAACAAGTCATGCTCACAATGATCTTTGAATAGATGCCAGAGATATTCTTGGCATAAATGAAAATCCCATTTGGTAAACTTACTCTTTTTGATACAGCAGTCCTGCTTCCCTTTGTTGGTAGAGCTCTTTCAACAAATACCAGATTTGTTTTTCATGGGATGCATATTCACTTGAATCCTCTGCTTGCAAAGATCTTGGTGCTACTGTGTTCCACCTGCCATCCCATCACATTGCGGGTTGGTGACCCCACTCATCTTCTCCATATCATATTCAGCCATGATCAAGTGTGAGGCAATTTACTTTCATGAGATTGCTGAGGTGCAGCTGAGACACTGCCAGAGAGCGACTTCAGTGTGGCTTCTTGTGCTCACATCGTCAGTGAAGTCCGAGGTCTCTGTAACCATACACTAGTGCCAGGATTCTGTCCAAAGACAGAGAGAACAAAACCTGAAGTTTAATAAAGGTCACTATTCAGAATGACCAGACAAGAATAATACACAGGTTCTTATACCTAATTATTTTATAAAAGGTCTTACCTTATTATTCAAATAATGCCTTCTATTGTTATGAGTGATGAAATCATAAACAAAAAAAAAACCTAAAATAAGATACAGGTTTGTATCTTGAATTTCAGATACAAAATGAACTTAATAAATTGGTAAATTTTTGAAAATCAAATTGTTGGAGGAAAAAAAAAAATCCCTCAGCAGTTAGACTCTATCTCTGATCTTAATCAGCATGTTTTCTGCAGTCTTGTAATGGGTGTAGCACACTGTACAGCTGGACCAAGACAGAATTATGAGAGAAAGGGTCCAAAACTTTTCAAAATGYTTATAAAACTGGTTGTATAGTGAGGCACAGAAGTACCCGGTACTGTCCTGCTCTTTAAGGGGCACTGTATTTTAATCAAGTTTTCCATCCATTGTGGTGAGTGGGCATAAATATTTTTATACTCTAATACTGCTCTTGCCCTGAGACTGCAAAAAGGAACAGCTRTGTGCCTAATTAAAGATAATACTTMAATATGCACATGTGTAGTCCTGATTATATATGGAATTGTTGTGAACAAATRCAAGATCAGGGCCACTGAGGACAATTTGCCCACATGACCAGAGTATTGACCCTTTTATATACCAGGGTTTTTTTTTGTTATTCATTGATGGATTGTAGAACAATATCATTTGCTTTGAAAACAACTCTGCACTGTCACAATGGAATATTTCAGCTTTTGTTATTGTCTGTCAACTAGCCATATTCATAAGTCCTTAATATCTCTCTTTCAGTCTTTAATAATTTATATACTTTCTTTCAAAGCCAGTATAATTGGACCTGATAATTAACAAGTTGAGTGCCAGAATAATCCTTCTATCTGTCTTTCTGTTTTGGTATTTATGAAATTGCAAAAGTCATGCTTTGGACATCCTTATTTTTCCCCACATTCCAATATGCACAAAATAATGAGTGTGAAGGCACTAAGGACTTCTTGCTCTAAAGAAGGGTTTGTTCTGAAAAGGAGACTTGGTACATGGAAATTTTCTCCTGAGAGTATGCAGCTTTTTCTGAATATTACACTACTGTCGTGTGGTGAATTGTTTTTCAACTGTATTGCTGACCCAGTTTTGAAGTAGAATAGTCTGAAGGAGAGATTATGATTCATATAAGTAATTGAAATGTTTATCCTACATATGCTATTTGAATTTTTCATAGGTGTATTTTGTAAATGCCTTGTTTAACTCCCTTGAGAGCTTGTTTGGAGAACAGAGAAGGCGTGAGAATGAAGTGAAACTYAATGAATCTTTAAAAGCAAATTTTCAGCTGCTGCTGCCACCCAAACTTAATTTACGGAGCAGCTTGTTTCCCGGCAGCCAGGAATGCCGTGAAGCAGCCTCAGCCTCCGTCGCACTTCCTAGAAGCGAGCGGCGACGGTGAGAGCGCGGTGTCGCTGCCAGGCCAGGAAGCTCCGTCTGTTGCAATGACTCCCCTGGGTTCCGTAACTCAAATACGCAAAGGGACAGCCCCGCAGGCTTGGGGCCACCTCTATAAAGCAACGTGCTCCTTCCACACATCTTCCTTCAGCCGGGCCATCTTCTGGTGACATGCAGGTGTGCCAGCAGCACAAGAGGAGGTAGGGCACGGCCTCACTACAAAATGAAAGCAGGGCCAAGAGCAGTTGTCAGTGCCTGTAAAGTGTTCTCTTTCAGTTCATTTACCAGTTTTCCTTTGTTTTTTTCCCTTTGTGGAATAAGCCAAAGTTTGGAGTGTACTGGAAATAGGAGTGGAGGGTGGAGGTGTTAGGATACTGAAAGTGGAGAGCATTACAGTAAAATGCCATATGTGCCCTTTTGTGGCCGTCCTTCATTTCTGTGCAAATAACCTTCAGCTGTGATGTCTCTCTACATATATGAAGGAAAGAGAAATATATTATTTATGTAACATACACGACATTTTGAAATTATGCAGCGATACTTCTTAAAATTACATTTGTTCATCAGAACTAATTTGTCTTCAGTTTTGCCGTTAGTAGTTTTYGGAGCATCTTGTGTGTCACCCTGTGTGAGCAGTGAATCTTGCACACAGCTAGTGGGGAAGAAACAAATGCTTTCAAAATAGGAAAACTTGACTGAATGCTGGCAGGAGCTCAAAAGCAATCACATACTCTGAAGATTACTCTTAGTTCAGTTTTACAGGAGACTACATGCCAGGACCATTATATCGCCTTCAAATTAAACTGTTTGACTGGAGCAAGCAAGTGATAGTGGGGCTTTCTTTGGCTTGTGCTTCTTGATTGKTAAAAGCAATTTGTAAAAAAAAAAAAGTTAAACTTTTTTATTTTTGCTGTGAATCCATCATTGCTTTTGAAAATTGTTTGGGTTCATGTGACTTGAGATTCACACTTTTAAGTCTKTGCTTCCTCATTGTCGCAAGTGGCTCTGTGATACTGTTCCATATTGAATTGTTTAAATAGTCAAATTGGTTATTAAAGAGCTCCTTTTTCTCTTCACTTCCTCTAGAGAGCATGGTACATTTTCAASGGAATCTGAACTGATCATTTAAGGATTCAGGATCCTGTCAGTCTTGGTGAAATTCAGAGGCAAGGAATGTCTCATTTGCAGCATATTAATAGCAGTTATACCAAAGTTAAATTATTTTTTTTTAGTCTCTAGACAATTGAAGGAAAATATAGTTGGTGTCAGTGGAAAATGGCAATGGTGATAGGACTGTAAGCCCCTCTGGAGCATCTGGAATGTTATTTATGTGAATGGCTTTGCACACACAGCTGGCTGGGAGGAAATGGCAAAGTTCATCATCCTCAGTAAGGGGTGCTTGACATGGCTGTCCAAAGATGTATCCAGGCATCTTTATGAGAAATGGTTTGTTCTCTGTGGGTTATAAATGTTACATTTTATTTTTACTCTTCCAGAAACATCATTTGACTCACTGAAGATATAAAACCAGCAGAGCCATGTGGGAGAAAAGGGGATTTTAGTCTCAAGTGACAGAATCAAGTCACAAGACGAGATTTGGATGGTTTCTCACTAAATGGAAGTTATATAGAAGACCTCTAATACCATTTCATTTCTCCATCCCACTCCTGCTGCACAGAGACTGTGCTCTTGGCCTTGGACGTTAATAAAATGCTGGATTCAGTCAAGTGTGTCCTGGTGGGAGACTCTGCGGTTGGGAAAACATCTCTATTGGTACGTTTCACCTCTGAGACTTTTCCAGATGACTACAGACCCACCGTATATGAAAATACTGGCGTGGATGTCTTCATGGATGGTACACAGATTAGCTTAGGTCTTTGGGACACATCTGGAAGTGATGCATTTAAAGGCATTCGTCCCCTTTCTTACCAACAGGCAGATGTGGTATTAATGTGCTACTCGGTAGCAAACCACAATTCCTTTTTGAACCTGAGGAACAAATGGATCAGTGAGATCCGCAGCCATTTGCCCCGCATCCCYGTTTTGGTGGTGGCCACTCAGACTGACCAGCGTGACATGGGTCCCTACCAGTCCTCCTGTATCAGCCCCATAGATGGAAAGCGGCTGGCCCAGGATGTGCGAGCCAAAGGCTATTTGGAGTGCTCTGCCCTCAGCAACAGGGGGGTGCAGCAGGTGTTTGAATATGCTGTGCGGACAGCGGTCAATCAAGCCAAAAGGCAGAAYAGGCGGAAGCTCTTCTCCATTAATGAGTGCAAGATCTTCTGAGGACTGTCAAAAATGGTTTTGCTCACGTTTGTTCTATTTTCTCACAAAGATACTGCAGCAGMGAAAATGGGAGATGAATCAAAGGAGGGCTCCTGTCAGGACCACAGTGCAGGTGCCTCTTTATCTGATCCTCTCCCCTCCAAAACACATGGGTGCTATCATGAAAAACGAAAGGTGCATATCCTTATTCAGAAACCTGTGTTTGGACTTTGCTAGCCTGGACTGGAGCAGGCCTAGCTTGGAGATCTGCAGATAATAGCTGTACTGATTTTATTTTTATTTCTGTCAATGTTCCTCAGTTGTTGGTTTGTCTGCATCTGCATTTATTTAATGACCCACTTCTTCCTGGATCAACCCCCACCTCTGTCCATGTGGATTTTTTTTTTACTTAAGAACTTAGCATATAATACCCGACCACTGTGTTTTTTAACCAGAGAAACCAATTGTCCTATCCATGTAACAAGTGGCCTGCAGGCAAGCCTAGCCCTTCTTAGACATGCCTGAGTCATTGCGTAACAGTCATCAGTATGTCCAGCGTAGGAATGATCAAAATCTTGTGACATTTGACAGTTGTCCTGCAGTTTTGTGAGATTTGTTACCTTAGTAGTGTTCCTCAGCAATGTGGTCAAAGATTGTAAGCGAATCTGATTCTTCCTAGACTTCACTGAGTTACAACCTCACAAGGGCATGCAGGCAGGGTTGGTTTAGACATATAGCTGGGGTGGAAGGGATGAATCTCTGCAACCATTACCTCTGGAGTCCCTGCTGTAATTTTGGAGGCAAAAGATTTCACTCTCCAGGGATGGAAGGTATGAGCACTTAAATTCTCATGTATTTTTAGTACATTTCTTTTTGAAGCAGTGGTTTTAGTGAAACTAGTCACCTAGTTAAAGACTGAGTACACAGCAAGGTTGAATGGGCATCTTTAGAATGGCTAAATTAATTTTTTTTGACTTTGCATACTAAGTGTAACTGCCTAGGTTGTATCCAAGTAAGACTGAAACAGGCTTAACATCCTGGGGAGCCTGTCAAATCTAAGAATCAAATCCTGATGCACAYTCTGGGGCCAAGTTACCCTCAACACACAATGCGGTACATTCCTCATGAGTTGTGGCAGTTCCCTCTTCCTCAGGTTATCTGTCCCCTCTGTCCTGCACCCTGTCTCACATCTTGCAGATCTGTCTCATCGCAAGGGAATTTCTTAGTGCAGCAAGATTTTGTTTTTCCGTTTCCTTGCCCTTCAGCTAGCTCAGAAGTGACCTTTGAGGGGCTTATAGCAGGGTGCCATTAAAGATGGCACATAGCACAGGATTGTCTTACATGTGATGTTGGTGAGCAAGTGTTTGCATTGTGGGCACCTTGAATACCATTGGGGCACAGAACACCTGGTGTGATTGTCTCACCAGCTCCTAGACTGCTGAATATTTACTGCTTATCCGCCTGACTGTAAGGGAGGCTTCTGATCATAAAAATATCCTGGTCTCGTGAGGTTTTTATATCAGCCTGAAATCTTTACAAACTTCAGTACCTGAGCACACAAGACACCTATCTTTCCTGAACTCTTTGCTTTCTTATTTCTCTTTCTCAAGTGTTGATTTGTCCCCGAAACACTAAAACTGGTGTAAAAGAATATGAATGGCATTGTACTTGTGTTGAGTTAAGCAAATGATCAGAGATTTGGGGCCCTCAATTAAAAAGCTTTTGGCTTTTGGGAGAAATAYGCTTCTACATGTCAATTCTTGCAATGCATCTCCACTGAAAGTCTTGGATTTTGTAACCCTAATTCAAAAGTAGCCATTGTTACTGTTTGAACATTAAAAAGTGCATGCAAAATGTTGTGTTATGAATTTTCAAATCTGTTACAATTRGGGACTGCCTTGTTATGTTTCCCACTCCATAAATGGATTTAATACCTGGTTTCAGCTATTTTTTAGACATATTTTTTCCAGAATGCTCTATTTAATGGTCTTTTTTTTTTAATCCCAGTGGGTTAAAGTCTGTTTACAACAGTTCMTGCTTCTGTTTTTATGTGCTGAAGAACAGTAATTGCCAGGCAAGAATGCTGTGTTGTGGTATCTGCCACGAAGTGCCACATTCAGGCACCAGAAGGCTACAAAGAATTGTTGTCACAGACAAAGCCAGATAAAGATGTGCTCCAGAATCACACTGTAACTGAAAATCTCATCTCATCTGTATTAGCTTCACGAAGCTTGTTATGGTGTATCCCAAAACTAAGAATTTGATGTCTGCTGCAATTCAGTGAAGCCAGCTGGATGGGCTTCCTTGAGATGCCTGAGCTGACGATACAGGACACAAGTGAAATTTAGGGATGGGTTGACATACTCTTGATTTTGCGTTCTAGAGCCAGTCTAAGGTGTGAGCCAGAAAGTTTTTAAAATCAGATTGAAAAGAATATAAAGTAATAGGTATTTTGATTTGGTGCTCTGTGAAAAAGACTGTTTRAATTTTCACAGCCTGGTTATTTTTAGACTCTGAAAGTTAAAAGGCACTTTTCACTGGGAACAAACTGAAGCACATATATTTTAGTGTCTGTAATCGTGCACTTTTCACTGAGCTGTAGAACTGATGTGCTCAAACAGTGCGGCAACCCCAATACAGAAGTTGAAATCCTGGTACACCAGAACTCAGCTGAAGATWTGGCCAAATGGCTTTTTGGGGTTTGCAGCTTGCATGACTGCAGCCCTGTTGTCTGTGAGGAGAGCAATGATGGACTGCGGAAGTTGACCGTGAAACATTTCCAGGCTGGTTTTGCTTGTGTTTACTTGGGTAACAGAGTCCCTGGGTAGTGTTTAGAGGTTGAAGTCTGGCTCTGGAATTTAAAATAGATCAAAATCACACATGTGAAATTTCAACTTCTTTCGCTCTGAAAAACAGCAGAGCAGGAAAAATGTGCAGCCTTGCCTCAGTTGGGTCAAGCTTTCAGCTGAGGGAAGAGATCTAGCCCAAATATTCTCCTTCTGTCTTCTCAAACTGATCCCTTTCAGTTTGTTATTCTGTTGCTAATCTTATTTTTGCTTGCTATTAAAATAGGTTAAAAGTTTTTTTTTTTAAAAAAGGATTATTATAAACACAGATTTCCCAGACTTTTAAACTTACTTGATATGCAGCATACAGTATAAATATTTTCTAAAAATAAATTGTAAAAATATGTTTCAAATCATCACATTTGCCCCTCCCCCTGATTTTCATAGGAAAATTATTCAAGCTTGCTAGATATAATTGATACTGTTTTGCCTGATATTTGCAATTAACAGTTTGCAAATTTTTGAGCAATTTTTGTGGGTACTCTGTGATTGCTAAAGTCTATGAACACATACTAGCTGATGATTGTGTTAATAAAGAAAATGTATTTAAGGGACCCTATATGTGGCACCATTATGAAAGAAATCATCAGAGGGATCAGACATGAAGGAAAAAGAAATGTCAGCACTCTGACATCTCAGCCTTTCTTGTATTACTATGGCATTTAAGTGAATACTGCTATTAGAATAATTTCTGATAAATGGGGCATGTCTTTTTAGCTCTGTCTCCTAGTGCTTTGGTTATACACAGCTCCGGTTAATAYAGAAGGAATAAAAGGCTTCATTTCAGAACATCAGAATGCTTATCTGCTCTTGCCTTTGCAAGCAAGCTAACTACCTTAACTTAATTAAAAGTCAGTTCAGGCTCTGAAACAAGCCACATATGACCACAATTGGGTTAGCCCTTGCTCTGAAATGACAGTAAAGAATTTTTTTCTCTGGATGTGAAGAAATGTATGTTATGTCTGACATTTCCTTCACAGCGATAAGAGCAAAACATCCTGACGAGTTATCAGTGTGTACCTATCCTAGCTAACCTGTGTGTCCTTCACCTTGTGCTCTGAGCAGTCCGCTGTTGAAAAAGAAATTCTGGAAGAGAACCACTTTTTTGTGTGTATCTAGGTGTTTTACACTGTATAGCTGCTTAACTACAGTCGTGGTGGCCTTTTCACTGGTCTGGACCTCTCACTCCATCACGGTGTGACACTGCTGCTGCTGTGTGTCAGCGGGCTCTGTGTCACTCATGAGGCAGAAGAGCCATCTCCGTGAAGCTGCCCTGTGTTTTCAGTAGGACAGAAGAGATGCTTTTTGGGACTCCTCTTACCTGCATCACAGGCAATTGCCCTACTCTGCAAACAGAGCTGGCCCTGCCTCAGTCAGACTTCTGTTGTGTGCAGTAACATTTATTTTGTGTGCCATTTCTAAAATTAATGTCAGTGTCCAAGTCATTGCCGAGGCCTGTTTTCTGCAGCCACTGTTGTAGTGCTGGCTGGGCTCTAGCTGCTGCATTTTGGAGGGGAGAGAAGGGGTGAAGGGTCTAGAAGCACAGAGCTAAACCCTGTGACACATCCCTTCCTGAGCGTGGGGAGCTGGCCTCCAGCCTTGCACGAACTGCGAGTCAGCTACTAGCAAACAAAATACTACTTATTGTTTTATAATACTGCCTTAAGTAATATTATAAAATCTTAAATATTATAAYAGTGCCTTTCTGGCTGCGAAGTGAATGAGTGACATGTCTGTTTCAGGTCTTTCACAGCYGCCCCACACAAGGCTGGCAGCAGGGTTTCTGTTTGTTTCTCTGTCCCTGGTGTGATTCATGCCGGGGCGGAGCAGCAGGGCATGGGCCCGTGTGTGCTGGTGGTTGTTTCTGTCTCTGGAAAAGAGGAAGGAAGCGGCGATTGGTATCTGCGCTTGGTGTGTGGTGCTCAGTCGCCCGCGTCCGCAGTGTTTCTGAGAAGTCTCCAGTGGGCACCGGCTCCCACAGGCATGCCAGCAGCTCCGGACCATGCCTCCGAGGATGCAAGCTCATCTGGGACAACTCTCAAGCCAAGACCTGGCATCTCCCCTCACCCCCTTGGCTGCCTTCCCAAAATACTCCATTGCTGTTCAACAGAAGGGTGAGACTTTCAAAAGAGATGGYTTTGCTTTGAAAACCAGGATCCCTTGCAAATGTCAGCTGCCCAGGATGTGGCTGTATCTGCTAGCTGTCTGCTAGCCACAGGCAGGGCTGTGGTGGCCGAACCTGCACAGCCAGTCTCAGGGTGTGAGGGAACAGACCTAAGGCTGATACTCCTCAGCTTGGCAGATGAATTAAGCAGAAGCAACTTGACGGAGATGTGTCTTATATGCCAAACCTCTTGTAACGCATAAGCACTTCTGAATTTTCTCTTTAACTCAGTTTTTTTTTAATATATAAATTGCTAAGTGTCTTTCTGGCTATTACCTTACCACTTGCATTTTTCTGTCACTGTGATGCCAGATCTGCTGCTTAAAGGCCAGCGAAGCAGTGATCAACACAGCATGCATCTGAGGAAGCATTAAAGGTCACAGGATTCCACAAGAGACTAATTAGAACTTCTTAAGAATTTTGCACATTAAAACGTTTATATATATCTTAAATTATTATTTTGTATGTGGAATTAGTGCTGGTATCTGATCTATCATAGAATTATTGACCAACTAAGCCAGAGCTGCAGCCTTTTCTCACAATTGGGGTGTTGGCTTAGACAATGAACTTTGCTGTTGAGTACTCCCCCCTTGCAGAGCTTGGCCAAAGCTCAGTCAAGTCAGTGGGGAGCTTTTAGGTTTAACTGTGTTCTGGGCCAAGCCTGTGTAAGCCTTCACAAATAATGGTTAGATACCCAACTCAAAACTGGCTGGGGGTGTGACCGGCCAGTTTAGGATCAGCTTGACTCAACTGAATTCACTTTTCCTGAGCCTGCTCCTTGTGGCTGTCTGGTGGATGGCAGGAGGATGAACTGTAAGTATGAAATGCTACTACACAGACTCACTGGGTGTCCCTGGCACCATTCTGCAGCTGGGAGATACTGGGCAAGCCAMAGTTCCAGTGGCCCCCTACATGAGATGGACACATGGCAGTGACCTTTCTTTAAAGTACTTTCAGATCAGTCATGAAAGATCTTGGTGCTGGTGGGTTGTTTTGGATTTGTCAGGTCTGTCAGATGTTCCTGCTGACAGGTTTGGTCTGTAGAATTTGTTCTGAATGGATCTGTAACACATGATATGGGACCAGTGCTTTCAGCATTTCAATTCRCTGAAGCCACAGGTAAGCATAAGGGACAGAAAGAAATGGGACAATATATAACAAAGAATTAATTGCTTGACTACTTTAACAGCTTTTAATTAACACAATGCCCTTTTTAATTTTACAGACTATCAGTAGGGGATGAGCTGGCATCTCATTCATCAGCAATATGCTTAGAAATCATATACCTGAGGAAGTTCTGCTGAATGCTGGGAAGGTAAAGTAGAGAGATGGTGCCTCCATGGTTATTCTTATCCCTCTTTCTGGAGCATGATCTTACATTCCCTGTAGTGACTGGACTCTGGGCTGGATTAATGTCAGTGTATGCAACAGGAACATGCTTACAACCCTTTGTGATGGTAAAGATTCATTTTCTGCTGAGGAAGTAGTCAAGGGTACTCATGTAGAGTCTCAGGCTCACATACTGCAGGTGCAGTACAACATACAACTTAAGGAGAATAATACAGGGAGAGGAGCATCTGACTCTGCTCCACATCTTCCACAACTTTCCACCTGTCTGCCAAGAAAACGGATGCACTGCCCTTGATTTAGAGCATTCTCAAGTTTTTGGCTCCCTATTGTGCAGAGWTACATCTTTGTTATTTTTCCTTGAATATCCAGAAAATGTGGCATCTTTACCAAAGATATTTCCCTCTTACATAGCTGACAGAAACAGGGAAGAGCTTTTGGCTCCCACTACACATATGTCACAAATTAACTTTCAGTTAACAGATGAAAGAAATCCCATGAGTCTTGCCTAAAAAAAAATTTGCAGCTTCCCAATCATATGATAGATATGAAGAATAGATAGTTCTGGTGCAGGTGATCTT